ATAAGGCAAATCATTCAAGTTTTCAGTAGAAGGCTATTTTTCTAAAAGCATAAAAACCAAATGGCCACACAAGTTCTAAACTGTATGCACGCAGATCTATGCAAATACAGAAAAATGATCAACATCTCCTTTGGAAAGCTCTTATCAGTTCAATGCAGATAAAGACAGAGGTCGAGAAAGAGGCATATTTAAAAACACAGAAATCATCTGGCTTGTTTTATTGAGTGCTCTTCAACCACTTAAAAACAGGCTCCCTTTAATCTGCTGCAAAGTTCCTAGGCTACAAACTAAATATGGTAGTTTTCTTCCCAAGGTGACCTTCACTGGTTTAACATGCTGGATGTTTGGCTTCCAGAAGAGATAGTAAAGTTGAGGTGGAGTATATCTGATCTACTCTTTGTGTTGTGACTTGTGTAGGGATTGAGGCAGCAAGGTACGTAGACTGAACAACAGAACAATAGTTTGGGGAGGAATTACTCACAGAGACCTCATTGCAAAATTCTGCATGAAGGAAGGTTTTCTCTATCCAAAAGAAGGCAATTGCTCAGTTCTACTATCCCTTCTTCCTGGCTCCCTGCTAAAGGAGGTTTCAAAGAGAAGAAAAAAAGAAAATATGCAGCGACATATTTCAATGCCTGTGAGTTGAGGCTATTTAATTATACTTGGAAAAGACTGCAGCAAATTCTAGCTCTGAAACAACAGGTACACAGAAAAACACAAAGGAGCAGCATTGTGCAGAAGCATGCACATTTACATCAGATACGAGGCTTCAGTTCCAGCTGAGGAATCTCAAAGGCATAATAACTGAAGTGATTTTAAAAGGAGACCTAAAATAGAGTAATACAAAAATGCCCTCTCGTTCTGTGGAGTTCAAAAGCATGTTCCAAACAGACTCAAAAACATGTGGATTCGTCAGTCATGCCACTCGCCTCTTCTTCCTCCCCTACCCTCCCAAGTTGCTGCTTCTGGAAAGACATCTCGCTGGAGGAAGGTGGCCTCTGGGAAGCTCCTCCAATACCTTTGGCTAATGGAGGAGCAGAGGCTTGCATGTCTCATCCTGTCAGAGGATGTGCTGCTGCTGCTGCACTGGGGTGCTGGTGGCAGTGGGAAAAGTCAGGTGAGGTGGCTCTCCTGGGGGTTCGGCTGTGAAGGAAGGGAGAAGGGTCAGTTCCAAATCTTCTTCCACGAAAGGTGACTCAGCCTTGTGGAAAGACCAATTGCTTACAGCATGAAACAACCACTGGCCTTCGCACCGTGTTAACGACCTTGAGCTCACTCAAGGTAAAAAAAGCATAGTGCAGACACAACCTGAAGTGTCTGGCTGAGCAAGAAGAGTACCACAGCTTCTGACCGGAGACCTACATCGAAAAGGAAAGGAAACTAATTGGAACTGAAGACTGTTGATTTGCCCAAGGGCTTGGAGAGGAAATGTATGGAAAATGTGAAGAGGACAGGTGTGGACTACGTTGTGTAAAAAGTAAAACTCAAGCTAAGCCAGAGCAGAGTAGAAGCAAAAGTCTCAGATGCCTTTTTTATTTGAGGAATGGGGTGAGAGTTAAAATAGACTAAAGCACATTTTGCATAAAGTTTCAGGGAAGCTGCAGAGGAAGAGAACGAGGTGCTGGCTGGGACAGAGTGTACATACATGTAGATAGAAATATAGATATAAAATGGGGACCATGTCAATTTTTAATGCCACTTTTATTAAATTCATGCATTAAATATAACATAAAATAGATTTAACATCCATGTTTCTGAGGACATCCCCAGTCCTACTCCATAAAACTCTTT